ATGATCCATTTATCTGATGATTATTTTCACAATTAAAGGATTTATCTATTGGTCTTTAAACATCTAAGAAATGCTCAGTGTAAGTTCTCGGTTTCTCACATCAAAAATCTACTTTCCATATGTTTTCAGTGGTGTTGATGGGAATGAGGAATCTGGTAGTTTGGGCTTTTTTGCTGGACAAATTACTTAAAGGGGACCTATCATGCAAAATGCACTTTTGTACGTCTTTTATACATGAATATGTGTCCCCGGTGTTCCAGGGAGCTCACCAAGTGTCAGAAAACACAACCCTCTCTATTTTCCTCCATATCCAAATCTCTAAAAAAGGGGCTGCAACGGATCTGATAAAAACTGATCCAGATTTGAACACTGTCCTGACGTCAGGACGGTGGCGCTACGGCTATTGGGCCAACTCCACCAATCAGGAGGAGACAGCCACGGACATTGCCGTTCGAAAGCGCTGGAGACGCTGTAGTACATATGCCAGGCCTGTAGGTGGTGCTGTTCTCACAGAATCAGCCCTTGCTAAAACAGAGCTAAAAAATGTCAAATAGAGCAAAATGAGGCATGGCTAAAATGCATGATCTGTTTGGTATTTTGAAAAAAAAAAAGTATAAATATGCCTTATATAGGTATGGTCCTACACTATATTATTCAAATATAGCATGATAGGTCCACTTTAAATTATTAATGTATTACACAAGTAATGGGATAGGACTGCAAATAATGCTTATTTAAAATGATACCTTTTTTCATCTGCTGATTATTCACTTTATTTAAGGGTGTATCTTCTTGTCTTTAAACAGTCTTATGTCTTGTGATAACAATTAAGAAGCTATTTTTAATACTTGAGAAGCTGGTATGATTGTCTCTTTTCCCCTTAAATAATTAATGGATAAACATTTTATTCATTATTTGTAGTCACATACTATTGATATTGATTTGCTCTGACAGTTAAATCCATAAAGCGATCCCAAAACAACAAACAATAAATAAATACATGAACAAACAAAGAAAACAAAATAAACTCAGGGGTTGTTTTCAGCTAAGAAATGAATAAAAATTGATTAGATACTGCTCTCCGAGTTAATATGGGTTTTCTTAAAGCCTCATTTGCCAATTTCTGTAAACCATTGCAACCTCACATGACATTGAAAACTGATTTTTTTTAGGAAGCACTTTTATTTCCCACTTAAATGACAAGGCTGCTGTAAATCTGTATAATTATCATCTACAAATCTTATGAAAGGACCAAAAACAACTCCGCCTTTTGTCCGTCTCTCAGCACTTTCCCACTGTTCTGTCTGTGACTCTAAGACCATTCATTCCTGCTGAAAACATCAATCTTTTTTTAGCAGCTATAATCAATATTTTCATCCTGACATCATTTGAATGTGAAAGGAGTCATTTGTGGTGGCAAACCCAGAGAGACACAACACACAGCTGTGCAGTTCCCTTCAGCTATACAGAGCTTCTTCCAGCTCATTGTTTTCTGTTTTTGATGGACCACAACTTTATGTGTTGTGTCTTCCTCGGCAGCAAACAGCAGACAGACACAGCGAGAGAGCAGCTGGTGATCATAGTGGAGCATTTAGCAGCTTAAGAGAAAGACATGTCGCTCAGGAGTAGGTGGAGACCAAAAACGGAGCTAAAAGAGAGTGAATATTGGACTCACATTTATCAAGAGGACTCAAACACAGCTCTCAATAAATGATAATGTAATTCAACAGGTCAGATTTATATAAAAATATACTTATTTGTTTTAAAAAACACCCCAAAACAGGGTCTATTTTCCGCGGTGGATTAATCTACATTTGGTGCTCTGGTGAATATATGTGGCAGCAGCTGGGATTGAGTCCAGATAAACTACAGTGTGTGTGTGTGTGTGTGTGTGTGTGTGTGTGTGTTCATGGTAATAAAGGAGCATGTCACCCCGTGCAGCAGTGTGACTGGTATATGTGTTTCAGTGGACAACAATGGAGCTTTCGGCAAGAAGGACGATAAATCCGGCTTTGGATACAGAGACAAGACTCCTTTGTTTGGACGAATATTGTTAGACTTGGTCTCAAAAAGTGTGATAATTGAACCGAGTATTTCATAGTTTTTTGACCGCTTAATTTGTGTGTGTGTGTGTGTGTGTGTGTGTGTGTCCTGAAAGCTGTGCCAGCTCCTGATTGGCCTGCAGCCACAGAATCAGTCTCATCTCATCAGCCTTAATGTGTCCTTACGATGTGAAGGTGGATCTGGGTACACACACACACACACCTGGAGCCATGCCTAGCAGACGGGTCCTCAGCCACATGTCCTGCAGAGTAACACGCTCACAGACTGCAGCTCAGCGTGGGTTGTGCAGGTTCAGCTGTGGAGATTAAAAAGAGAGAGTGCCCTGGAGTTTGGTCCACATCCACATGTATCTTTATCCCCTCAAACAGATCTCAATTTCAGTCCAAGAGCAAACACACTTTTCAAACTGGGGACTTGGTGAAGCTGCAACAGTTCATCAACTATGAGTAAATTGAAAGAAAATAATCACCAACTATTTGAAAGTTGATTAATAGTAATAGTAATTTCACGCAAAAACAGCATAAAATCTTGACCTTTGTATATAAATGTCCTGCTTTTATGTCAAATTAGGCCGAATATGTTTGAGTTTCTGAGGTACAAAAAATACATTTAAAGATGTCACCCTTGAAGTTTAGAAACTAGAATAGGCATTCCTCACTGGTTTCTGTCCTTAATGGACCTAAGCGGATTAATCGATAGTGGAAATAATCTTTGGTTGCAGCTCTGCAATGCAGGATTATCAGGTTTTCTCTGTAATCCTCAGTAAACAGTGAGCACTGAGTAAACAACGCGCTGCAGTGCAGAGGCCTCGGCCTGTAGACGTGTCGAGGAGAAGCTCTGCGGCCGTCAGACAGAATAGAAAGCGTGAGATGATAATGTTAGAGTCAGCGTGTGAGGCGGTGATGTGAAGCAGACCTCCGCTCCGTTAAATGGTGTTTGATTTGTTTTGCTTGAATGAAGCAGACGGGTGGGGTTTACTGCAGCAGGAGGATTCAGATGCAGACAGTAGGGTTGGGCTGACACTGAAAATAAATCATCGAACATTTTTGATTAATCGTTGAAGTAATTCCTGATGCAAACGTTTGCCTTTTCTTCTGAAATGTGGGGATTTTCCGTCTTTCTCTGTTTGAAATCAGATTTGACTAAATGTGGCTTTTTTTGTCTTTGCACAAGTACTGAGACAGCAAACACAGTAATGTGGAATCAACATAAATAAGATGTATTTTTGATTGCTAACGCTGATTGATAGCTGTTTTCCCGTCTGGTTTGCGTTACATGAATGCAACGCAAATGCTCTATTTTCTACAATTCAAACCAAAATAAAACCTTGTACATGTACCCACCCGTGATTCAGATTCAATCCAAAATGTAATGCGGTTTTCCTTAGCCCGTGCTACACCCTTGCATAAAGTTTAATACAAAATAATCCCAGTAGTGTTTCTGTTATCCTGCTGACAGACAGACAAATCGAGCCCAAAACATAACGTCCTTGGCAGAGGTTACCTAATATCTTTGTGTATTGGACTGTGGGACAAAATAGGACATTCAAGATGTCACCTTGCACTAGTTTGGGAACATTTTGTCTAAAGGATTAATCAGCTAAGTAAACTCCAACAGAACTTTGAAATGCTTTCTTGTCACTCTCTTGGCACCGCAGCTTCAGAAGGAGATATCCCTCTATTTGCTTTTCAAAACCCTGTCAGTTGTATTGATTTATTTATTGAATCTCTCTGAACAGCGTCCTCTTACAGTGCAGCCGCCAACGTCTAGATGAGAGACGCCCTGAGATCAAAATGTTGATACAGTTATTATTACTGTGCGCTCCCAGCAAGCAGCTTCTCCAGTAGCAGCAGGGCGTAGTGGGTTTCTTCTGCCCTGAGTTTCACCTCACAGGCTGCACTGGGTTATCGCTGGAGGTGGTTTTCAGGGCTTTTCAATATTATTTGTAATTTCCTATTTGTTAGTTATTCGATTACCGTTATTAGGAAAAGCACATATCTTCAAAGTGATTTGAAGATATGTATTGTTGTTATATAGTGTATACCATAACATGTTTACAATTATTTACTATAGGAGAATATTTACATGTGGCGTGGATTTACTTTATCTGTTGTTGCGTGCCAGTTTTATTAATATCATTCTTAACCTTTAATGTTGGCCTAATTATGACCTATTGTTAGAATTATTTAGTAAATGCAATTGTTGAGCAGGAAATGTGTTTAAATGACAATGGATCTTTTTGACCTGTAACATTTGAGTAAACTTTTGATATAGATTATTTTCCTTTCCAAAGATTTTAATTGAAGTAAGTCGTGTTACTTCTGGAAACCAGAAAAGAGTGTTTCTACATTCATGATAATACGTGTTGTTCTATATTGATAAGTAAAGGGTGTTTATGAGTGAAAACCACAGATTTTATTATTGTCTACAACTTCTAAAACATAACCCATGTTGAGCAGGCACTGATGAAGATATCATTATAGTGACTTTGACATTTTAGCTCTCTGCACAAAGTGTGGATTTAGGTTAATGTATCATTCATTTGGACAGATTTCAGCAATGGATTTTTACTTTGATTCGGCAACGAAAGGGTTATTTAATTGACTACATAACAGATTGCTGCATAGGAGCAGGAACAGCTTGTGACCGCTCACCTGTGAGGCATTCTACCAGGTGTTTGACCCTGATCTGATGTGTGATTTGAATCAAGAATGATTAGTTGTGTCGTGTAGAGGACAACAGAACACAACATAAATTGTAGCTCCAGTGCAGGGCAGTAAAAGTGAAACACATTTGCTGTGACTCACTCTCATTATGTCGATCTCCCTCCAGAGCAGCAGATGCTTTATTGCTGTGCGTTGTTTCCTGAAGGGAACCATTTGATTTCTATAAAGACTGTGACGGTGATAGTTGAAGTTTCCCTCTCTGTGTTTCAGATGAGAACGATGTCTGATGAGACAGAGCAGAGAATGTGTGACGAAGACTTCGGGTCGGATGAGGAAGGAGAGGAGGGAGACGTGGAGTCGTTCATGGAGGACAACAGCAGCGAGCTGGTGGACCGCCTGAGGGAGCTGGAGGTGAGGAAACATTACATTTTTTAAATTGTTTTATATATGATTTATTTGTGACATTGTCAAGCACAGAAAGCATACATACATAGACCCTCATATGTACAATAAAGGGAGTAAAAGAGACCATTCTACCAGGGTCAACAATACCAAAATAACAACAACAAAAACAGACCTTAACCACAAAAAACAACATTGAAATAAAATAAAATAAATAATAATAACAACAAAATAAACATATATAAGACATTCTAAGGCATTAATCTACTCGACGGAAACATTCAATTTAATTGAACTGCAAATGAAAAGTACACATATTTAAAAGTATATATATTTAAAAAAATACTTAAACTTTCCTTGTATTTTGGAAGATTATGAAAAGATTTGTTGTTGTGTTGAAAATAAGTTTTTCTTTTGTTATTTAATTGCATTGTAATGTTTTGAATTTAATTTGTGTTCAAGTCTACCAAATAACATGTGCTGAAAATGGTAAAATACCATAACTTGCTTAATAACTATTGTTTCTGTTATAATATATTTATTTATTTTTCAGTCAAATTATTTCCTTTTTTTAACAGTATTATTCTTTAATAATACTTTATTTTTTTTATAAATAGAAGGAGCTTTCATGATTACACTGAATGTGTATTTTATGATTTAAATGTGGTAAATAAAATGTATTTTTTAATATTTTCCTCACAGGCAGAAAACTCAGCTCTGATGTTGGCCAATGAGAGTCAGAGAGAGGCTTATGAGAGATGTTTGGATGAGGTGAGTTCATGTTGCAGGATATATTATCTGTACAAAAAATACATAAAATAATTTCTGCTCAGATATGTAATTCTCTGTATATGTTTCATGTGTTTCCAGGTGGCCAACCACGTGGTCCAAGCTCTGCTGAATCAAAAGGTAACATGAAGCCACATTTCTGTTTCTGTTTCTGTGTCTGTATTTTAATTACCTGTATCAGCTGTTGTCTAACTGTGTGTGTGTGTGTGTGTGTGTCGTGTGTGTGTGTGTGTGTGTGTGTGTGTGTGTGTGGTGTGTGTGTGTGTGTGTGTGTGTGTGTGTGTGTGTGTGTGGTGTGTGTGTGTGTGTGGTGTGTGTGGTGTGTGTGTGGTGTGTGTGTGTGTGGTGTGTGTGTGTGTGTGGTGTGGTGTGTGTGTGTGTGTGTGTGTGTGTGTGTGTGTGTGTGTGTGTGTGTGTGTGTGTGTGGTGTGGTGTGTGTGTGTGTGTGTGTGTGTGTGTGTGTGTGTGTGTGTGTGTGTGTGTGTGTGTGTGTGTGTGTGTGTGTGTGTGTGTGTTGTGTGTGTGTGTGTGTGTGTGTGTGTGTGTTGTGTGTGTGTGTGTGTTTGTGTGTGTGCTGTGTGTGTGTGTGTGTGTGTGATCAGGATCTGAGGGAGGAGTGCATCAAGCTGAAGATGTTGGTGTTCGACCTGGAGCGACAGAACCGAGCGCTTTGTGAGCTCTTTCAGCAGAAACTGCCCAACCACCCCACGGCTCACTACCAGGTAAATCCACTCATGATTTATCAATGACTGTGTTTCATATTCAAACTAAACTCCTTCCCACTGCTCTAATCAGATACTTCACTATCCTTAAAAGTACTACTACAGCAATGTACAACAAATACTCCATCTGTGAATAGAGTTAGAAATAAGTGAGCTAACCAGATCTCTGTAGCCTGCTTCTCTACATCAGCCAATACGTGTATGAAACACCTGAATTGTTTAATGACCTGTTGGTGTTCAAGTTGCATTATGGGTAATGTAGGCACCAGTTTCTGACGAGGAAAACATATCTTTCTCTGGAATAACAAAGACTATATCTATGGTCTTGATGGATAGATATGTATGTATTTTGTTGGCGTGCAAGTAAAGACATTATGTGATATTCTATAATACAAATATTTGTTTTAAAGTGATAATGTCATAGATGAAGTTGAAGGTCATTTGAACTACTTTAACTACCAGGTAGTTACATTTATAAGTCATTAAACCCAACTATAAATCAAGGAATCACTGTCATAAAAGTACAGTGTCATAAAAACATCATACTATAACAAAGTCATAGTTTAGTGTGTCATAAAACATATGAGAAGTACTGCACTTGACTTACAATGAGTCTTCATTTTGTATTCACCTCGGCCTCGTTCTTTGCAGAGACAGTCATGTATATCATCTGGGCTTTTCCCTTCTGCTCTATATTGTATGCCGGGACAATGTAGCTCGTAGTTGTCTGACTCTGTGTATACAATAACCCGTAGTGTATACAGTGTCATCATAATTGCCTCATGATTCTCCCGTTGCAGGTCCAGGCGGGACCCCTCCCAGACTACAATGCACAGCTGCACAATGACTCTGCAAAACAGGTGGAGCCTGCACAGACTGAAGCACAAGCCAAGGTGATTATTGCAAAACATTAAGAGTGAAACAGTGGGATTACATGAAACCCTCTGTGTGGCTCCTGTGTGACGTCATTACATGCTCTGACATTTGCTCTGTTTTCCACTATTGTGCTTTAAAAAGCTAATCAGCCCTGCACTCATTTCCTGCACGCACATACTCTAAAGGTCTTAGGGAACTTAATTGTTTAAAGAGGCCCTATTATACTTTTAGGAGTTCTCCCTTTCCTGTATTGTGTTATATATTCTCTCCCAAACACTCCCCCCCCCCCCCCCAGCCTGAAATGCCTCCATTGGAATCCATTGTTGACTTCTGAAACATAATGACACCACCATATCAAACTATCGCTTCTATTGGCTAGCGCTCCAACACATTGTACGTGATAGGCTAAGGGGCTGGACATCTCTAAGCTGTTGACCGATCCCAACAGAGCCGGCCAGCTAACCAATCAGAGCAGACTGGGCTCTGGTTTCAGACAGAGGGTGAAAAGAGGTGCTGCAGCACAGGCAGTATGAGAAAAATAAAGAGATTTTTGAACATTAAAGCAAGGAGACATGTCACAGTAGAGACACTACATAGAAATATGAACCTGTGCAGAATATGTCTTCTCTAACATTCACTGAAGCTGCAGCAATGAATTTAATTCTAATTGAAATCTCTTTCTGTCTAAAGGGAAATGGCTACCGCACACAACATGCCTCCCCGGGCCCTCGTGGCCCCGCCACCTCCATGGAGGCCCTCTCTCCCTTCTTCAAGAAGAAAGCACACATCCTGGAGGTCCTCCGCAAGATGGAGGAGACGGACCCTCTGAAGTTCCACCCGTCCACCACCAGCTTGTCTTTCTGCGACTACAGCCAGGTGCTCATGTCCACAGAGGCTGTTTTGGCTACAGCAGCAGACCCCCTCCCACTACCGTGCAAACCCCACCACACACACTGCCACTGCTCCCGCTCAGACACCGACTCACACCAACATGTGAACGGTGACGGGGGGGTGAAGTGTGAGGCGGGGAACACCTGCTGTTTACACTGCAAGAGGAGCCCTGACAGTCCTCCGAAACCTTGCAACCACGTCTGTAGTCCTTCCAAAGCCCCCCAGAGCCATGTCGTTCCTACAGCTGCTATTAGCGAATGTCTCAGTAAGAGCAGGACAGCAGAGCCCCCGTCCAAACAATGCACCAAGAATGAAGCCCAGCAGCCACCGGCAGGCGCTGCAGCACGGGTCTCAGTACCAGAACCTGATCAGAGCCTGGAGGTGATGGACGTGGAGCAGGAGAGCTCTGAGAGTCTAAATGTCTCTGAAGAACTCACCGGCTTCTATCCCACATCCCATCTGACCAGTTCTGTGAAGGAAAGCGCACAAATCCTCCACCATGACATGGAAACAAGCGACGGTGTTCACAACGGCGTCAGCACCTTCCTGTCGAACGACCTGTCAGCAGTCCCGGAGAAAGACGTCCCAGATCCGCAGGCTTCTTCCGCCAGGGCCAACGCCTCCGTGAGCCCCAGCCCGTCCTGCCTCACCGAGATCAAAACCGCCGCCATGAACTCTCCGTCCAAAATGCTCAAGTTCCTGAAGATTCCCACGATGGGAGAGAAGTCCCAACCCTCCACGTCCGCCGTGAAGCTGAGCCCGCAGCTCACCCGCAGCTCCAGGATCCCCTGCCGCACCAACAACTACGAGGTGTACCACTCCCCTGTTCCCCCCCGCAGAGCCACCACCACAGAGAGGTGCCGGCAGCCCCCCCCCACCCCCCGCCAGGTCCGAGTCCTACCCGGCAACACACTCCGCCCCGACGTCCCCTCCTCAGTCTGAAGACGTCTGCTCCCCGCCCGTTAAGGAAGTAAGCTACAGCAGCCTCTCAGCGCCTAAAGCTGCTCCAAAGATGGCCGCTCCTCCTTCTGCATCCTCCTCCTCACCGAAAATAGCACAGAGGGTCCCTCATTATGAAAATGTCTCTGTCATGTCCAGAGAAGAGGAACCAACACAAGGCCAGAAAAGAACCACACTTCCATCTCAAACAAAGGGGAACGGCGGTGAGAGGAAGCTCGTCAAGTCGCTACCAGAAAGTGTCCTGAACCCTCCTCCTCCGCAGAGAAAGGAGTCGACCACTTCCTCGTCCGAGACCTCGTCAGACGATGAGGACTCGGACAGCCCGGTGTGGGTCAACCAGCACAATCTGCCCGGTGCGTCCGCTCCAGGTAAGCTCACACAGGGAAGACTTAACTTCTCACAAACCAGAGAGAAACAAGAGGTGGATGTGAGGGAGATGCAGAGGTCCGATGTGGCCCAGCAGCCGCCTCCTCCTCCAGCCAGGAGGACCGACTCCTCCATCCCTAAGAGGCCTGCAGCGGTGGCAGCGAGACCCCAGCCGGACTCCAGTCACCACGCTTTCAAAGACAGGCTGGCTGCTCTAGGGAAGCTGAGGAGTTCAGAGGATCTACAGGTCGGTCTGAGGCCGGTGGAAGAGGGCACCTACGCAGAAGAAAGGTGTAAAACAGAGGAGAGGCCGATGGAGCTCCAGAAAGAAGAACAGAGACATTCAAAATACATCGACTCTTTGGATAGTAAAAGCAAAGTTAGTATTGGTGGTTTAAAATACCCGGGGTCGTCTCAGCTGTATGAACACCCTGTGAAATCTACAGCGGGGAAACAAGAACTGTGCGTGACCAAAACCGAAGGCCCCAAGAGTAAAATTGGTCTGCCGTCCCCTAATGCTGACGCTCCACAGGTGCTACGCAACAACATCAAATGTCCTGGCTCCCTGAATCTGGCCTATAACCTTAAACCAGTCCCTCACAGTAGCAACAGCCCCAATAAAATCCCCCCAAAGTCACCGTCCAAACCATGCCAGGGCCCGTCCGTCCACAAAGCAGCGAAACCCGCGGAGTCGCCTCGTTACTCGTCTAAATCAGAGGAGAGGACCAAGATCAGTGGGAAAGGGAAGAAGAATCCGATGTTTGGAGACAGCCTGCCGCCGCCTCCTCCGAGACCTCCAACGTCGGAGGTGGAGAAGCCCCCGCCGCCGGCCACCAGCCCGACGTCCGCCATCGAGCAGAAAGTGATGAAGGGCATCGAGGAGAACATGCTGAAGCTGCAGGTGCTGGACCGGGGACCGCAGCCCACCGAGGTGAAGCAGAAAGCCTCCAACGGCATCGCCAGCTGGTTCGGCCTGAAGAAGAGCAAACTGCCCGCGCTGCGCAAAACGGACGCCACGAAAGTGAATGAGAAGCGGGAGTGGAAGATCAGCATCCCCTCGGTGGGCAGGGACCCTGTGAAGGTGGCCAGTAGGTGTAAAGAAGGAGTGGAGGGCCTGAACATCTCCACGCTGATGGAGAAGGCGGAGGGGCTGCGGAGGGCTCTGGAGGAGGAGAGGGCGTACGTGGAGAGGTCGGGCAGAGGTCACTCCTGCGAGGTGGTGATGGACCAATCTCAGGGACAGCTGGCCGTCATGTACCGGGGGGGGACGCTCAGACAACTTCATGCAGCAGCTGCTCAACAGGTGAGGGCCGGCTGGGTAACAAACTGTTCTATTAGAGGAGTAGGAAGAAAATGTTTCAGCTTCTAAAATATGCTTATTTGATCTTCTCCTCTAGCTTGGCTGAAAGAAAATAAGCGTATTTACGATACAAGATGTTAACTGATATTAGGTTATGAGGGATAAACCCCTTGAGATGAACCACCCAGTTTTCAAGGGGTTTCTAATATATAGTACAAACAGCAAGACAGTCAAGAATTCACCAAAACTAAATGACAAAACAAAATCAGGTCACATCCTACAGACAAGACTACTACTTAAACTTAACCACTATATGGCCACAGAGAGGCCATGAACAAATACAATGAAATACCAATAAAAAAGAACAATTTGTAATTATATTAAAATACGAACAACGTATGTTACGATACAAGAAGATATGATTGAATTGTCACGATTAAGTCTGAAATTGTCTTGCAGCTCAATTGAAACATCGACAATGACAAATATTTAAAGTAGACCTATCATGCTATATTTGAATAATATGGTGTAGGACCATACCTATATAAGCCGCGGGTCATCTGTGACGTCTTCTGGACTTCCTTCACGCCTCATAGAAATGAGATAGGAGACAACAAGTATGTGTCTGTCTCCTCATAAAGATCAACAACCTGAAATGCCCTGCCTCCTCCTATCACAAAGAGGCAGCTGAAGGTCGTACAGAGTTCAGATCACACATGATCTCAGTGCATTCAAACTAACCCAAAGAGGAGACAACAGTATTTTCTCCAACAACTTAAAGTGGACCTATCATGCTATATTATAATAATATAGTGTAGGACCATACCTATATAAGGCATATTTATACTTTCTTTTTTTCAAAATACCAAACAGATCATGCATTTTAGCCATGCCTCATTTTGCTCAATTTGAAATTTTTTAGATCTGTTTTAGCAAGGGCAGATTCAGTGAGAACAGCACCATCTACAGGCCTGGCATATGTACTACAGCGTCTCCAGCGCTTTCGAACGGCAATGGCCGTGGCTGTCTCCTCCTGATTGGTGGAGTTGGCCCAATAGCCGTAGCGCCACTGTCCTGACGTCAGGACAGTGTTCAAATCTGGATCAGTTTTTATCAGATCCGTTGCAGCCCCTTTTTTAGAGATTTGGGTATGGAGGAAAATAGAGAGGGTTGTGTTTTCTGACACTTGGTGAGTTCCCTGGAACACCGGGGACACATATTCATGTATAAAAGACATACAAAAGTGCATTTTGCATGATAGGTCCCCTTTAAGACAAGAAACAAGAAAACAGATATTAAAATAACATCACTGAAGACCGTTAAACAGGCATCTAATCTGGGATTAAATTCGGTATTCATACCCAAAAACACTTCTTATAATACTGCTAACACCACCATTTAGTTTGGTTGAGTTTCGACATCCTTACTGAGATGTTATCTGTGTGTGATAAATGCAGAGTGGACGGGAACGAGATGATCACCGTGCCGCAGCGCCGGCTCTCCTTCGACTGTAAGACCTCGAAGCCGATGTTTTGTCAGCAGGGCGACGTCATCAGTCACACCACCAGTCGAGACGATATGGAGAAGGTACATCAGGTTTTACACTCTACACTATTCATTTCTCCTCAGACTAACTCAAAGACAAGATAATACATTTACAATATTGATAAAAACCAAATATGCACTTTCATTGAATGCATTGAGCGAGGCGTGTACAAATTCAAGGTCTTGGATTTTTTCCATCGTATGCAACTCTATTATTTTTTTCATCACAGAGAGGAATACATATTTATTTAATGCACTGCATTAGTGTGACAGTTATTGAGCACAATACAATAATTCATCTACTTCCTGTCCAATGAAAACCATTTATCTCCAAAAGAGTGCGATTTTGAATGATGGTGGTAAACTAGACGATGACGTTTTTCCTAATTTGTTGAGAAAAGTCTCGTTTCTTAGGCAAACTAGTTAAAAACCCTCTTGGATTGAATGTAAAATGCATCTTCTCTACGCTGAAAACACGGCTGTTTTTCTGAGAAACTCGTAAAAAATGTACTTTTTAGTGAGGCATGATTCTTACTTAAGACAACAGGCTGCACAAATATGAAGACCTTATGGAATTTGATGCAATATCTTAAATTAAACTTCCTAACAGTGTAAAAAAAGGGGTTCAAATCAGCACATCATTAAACATCTGCAGCATCAAAATGCATCGTGCAGCAGCAATCTGAAATCCACAAAATCAGTGAAGCACAGACAGGTAGAATTTGACTACATAATTAGTACTTTTCCTCTTCATACTTAAAATATATACGGTTCTATAAACGTGTATGCCTTTACTTAAGGGAGGTTTTGAATGGAGGACTGTGACTTGTAGTGGAGAACTTTCAAAGTGTGTTACGAGTACTTTTGATAGAGTGAAAGATCTGAATACTTCTTCACCACATGTGAAATTTGTTCTACATCGAATCAACTTTCACGCCTAACCTTGGCTTCTCCTCTGTTGGATTATTCTCCTGCACGCTGATGTGAAGAGCCGCCGTTCGGCACACTCACTCCTCCATCTGCCGCTTTGTTGTTCTTTCATGCAGGGATCAGACAGAATCGGCAAGATCACATCAGATGAAAACCTCGCCGATTCAGTTCACTCCCAACACTTCGCAGGTAAGAAAGCGAGTGTGCCAGGATTTAATCAGAGCAAAGAAATATCACACATTCTTTGGAGTTTACGAGTGTTAGGACCTTGTGGAAGATCAAACCAGACCTGGGTGGAACTCGTCTGGAAATAGATGAATGAAAGTGTAGAGAAATTCACAGGGTGAGACATTTTTTAAAGTACTATCACAGGAACACATGGAACACATCACAGCAGAGTGTACTTAAGTTTAATTTCAAGCGCCTTTTACTTAGTATTCCCATTTTAAGCTACTCTATAATTGTACTCTACTTCATTATAAGAGGCGCTATTATACTGAAACGCCTCTTTCCCAGTCTTTTATTTACTTCAGTAACATAGGGGCATCACTATGGAACACTCGCAATTCTATTGGCTAGTGCTCCAACACATTGTCTGTGATAGGCTAAGGGGTGGGACATCGGTTGACCAATCATAACAGACCCAGGAGCCCCTTGAAAACGAGATGGTCCATCTCAAGGGGTTCATCCTAATAAATACATTTCAAATAAAGCAGAGCCGGCCAGCCAAACAATGCCAATATATTCCTATAATAAATAAATTAAATCTTTAAAACAATGGTTTAAGAAATATCACACTGTGGTATTACGTTGTCTCCCTCAGTAAAGGATGCGAGTATTTCTTCCAGCACTTTAAATCTGCATCAATCCATGAGGGGTTTAACTGAAACCTAATTTGCATATTGAGGGGGAAATTAATTGTCTCAGACTTTGATTAGCATATCAAAGGTAAGTAAAGGAGGCCACGCCCCCGAGGAAAATCAACCCTCAGGCAAAGCTGGAATAAATAATGTGGAATTCAACACATTTATTTCTTAATTGTGCCTTTTTATTTGTTCCCTTAAAGGTCCCCTATTATACTGTTTTTCATCAATATATTATAGGTCTCAGATATATACAAACATGTTTCTGAAGTGTTTGGCTCCAAACACCAGACAGATCATTGCAGCATCCCATAATCCCCTCTGTTTCAGCCCTGTTTCAAAAGTGCTGATTCTCTGTCTGTTACTTTAGATGAAAATAAGGAGGGGGTGGGGGGGGGTTACCTTGGTTGGTGATTGGCTAATGGTAACACAAGCCAAAAAAGTGGCCAAAATCTGATCAGCTCATTTTCAGACAGGTTTTTATATAAATGGATCAGGACAAAAAGTGAGCGAATCTTTTTTCCTGAAACTTTCAGAGTCTCTTTCCACAGAGGGGACACATGTTGATGTAGAAAAGACATGGAAAAGTGGATTTTGCATAATAGGTGACCTTTAAATATGTGATCATTAATCGATGCGTTTCGTGGTCACTCAGCCCCTGTCTCTCCTTCCTCCTCAGGCTCTGGTGTCTCCACCTACACGCTGGACAGCGGCATCGGGACCTTCCCGCTGCCCGACTGCAGCAGCGGGGCCGCCGGTCGGGGTCTCTCCAAGGCGCGGGCCGGAGCCGAGCGCCACTCCTCGGGCTCCCCGGGGCGGGCCGGGCGGCGGGCCAGGACCCTGGACAGAGAGCCCGTGACCCAGGAGGAGAACTACGCGGCTCACAAGCAGCTGATCCCCACCATCCAGTACGCCTCCGCGCTCGAGGGGAGGGGCTCTGTCGGGGTCATCCGTGAAGGTGCCCTAAAACTCTCCCTCTGGTGCATTATTACAGAAAACAAAGCATTGTTAGAGGTCACTTGGTTTTTTTCTATAGGCTTCAAACTTAGAGCTTTTGTCAATGTTACAAAGTACTTTGATGTAGAATGCAGACTGCACTGAAGTACACACTGAAACAGTTATTAATAGGTGCCCTAAAACTCTCCCACTGACGCATCATTACAGAAAACTCACAACATTGTTAGAGGTCACTCAAACTTGGAGCTTTTCTCAATGTTACGGAGTGCTTTGATGTAGAATGCAGACTCATACTAAAGTACACACTGAAACAGTGATTATATGACAATACGTGTTGGTCATCAATAGGTCTCAATCTTTCAGAACTGCATTAGCACGTTAACACAACAAACGTTGAACGCCGATGAGATGTCGTACATTTTAGTTTTATGTGTGAACCTACTTGGCAATGATTGTGATTCTGATTGTAAACATGTGTTTACTCTCCCTCCACAGACAGAGAGTCCCACGCTCCGAACATGTTCTCCCCCCGCTCAAAGACCTGGACCTTCCCCAACCTGAAGACCGCCGCCGGGCCTGCAGAGGTCTACCTCGCTGTGGAGGAGGAGGAGGAGGAGGAGAGCTTCGGGTCTCCCTTCAGAGCGGTACGATGAAGATCACCTCCCTGTTCCTCACTTACACTCCTCCTCCTCTGACCTTCCACTTCTTCCTATCTTCCTTCTCGTCCCCTCTCTCATCTCCCCATCTCTTACTCCCTACCTCCCCTGTCAGTCCCTCCCCATCCCTATCTGCCTTTCTCCTCCCCCTCCTTCTTTTTCTCTTCTTCCCTTTTATAAGATTTCTCTCTCCTCTACTTATGTTAGGAAAATATCACTCGACACCAGGTTGAGAATCAATAATCAGGTTCTAATGTATTCTTGCAAGAAGGAGCAGAGTCAAATCACATACAAAGGATATGGGTTAACTCATGAGGTATGTTGCTCACCGGAGCAGCAGAACACATCAGGCTTATATTCCAAAACAAGGAGATAACAACAAAGTCGTGGCGCTAATATCAGCCGCGGGTCATCTGTGACGTCTTCTGGACTTCCTTCACGCCTCATAGAAATGAGATATGTAGGAGACAACAAGTATGTGTATGTCTCCTCTTAAAGATCAACAACCTGAAAAGCCCTGCCTCCTCCTATCACAAAGAGGCAGCTGAAGGTCGTACAGAGTTCAGAGCCACACATGATATCAGTGCATTCAAACTAACCCACAGAGGAGACAACAGTATTTTCTCCAACAACTTAACCCTAACCTCTCCACCCCCCTCTTATCTCCTCACCTCCACCTCTCCACCCCCCTCTTATCTCCTCACCTCCACCTCTCCACCCCCCTCTTATCTCCTCACCTCCACCTCTCCACCCCCCTCTTATCTCCTCACCTCCACCTCTCCATCCCCCTCTTATCTCCTCACCTCCACCTCTCCACCCCCCTCTTCTTTTGCCTCTCTCTCTCCCTCCTCCCTTTCTCAAGATGAATTGACAAACTAAGGGTTGAAAAAGGTTTATTACACCTAATGTCTTTAGACCCTCAAAAAGGGAAACTCTCAAAATCAAACTTTAACCAAGAAGAGAATGAAAGATACCTCGGGGGGTGTGTCCCCCAGGACGAACAGACATGCAGTAGATCATGTGTATTTCTTGGAAAGTAAAAAAGCAAAGTGATGGAAAATACAAATACTATGTTCTAGTCATATAGTTATAGACTTTATATAGTTGTGTTTGGTCTATTCTTGTTGAGAAGCGTCTGTGCAGGACTATCTGGGTCACTCTCAGACTGAAAATACTTTGCAGTGGAGTCGAGATACATTTTTAAATCTGCACTCACATCTTACATAACGTAAAAACACAGAGCCACAAATTATTAATCAGCTGAATATTAAAGATTCACCATCGGATGATTTATGTAACCCACTTTTGTTTTTTTGCACCTTAAGGCGTTACATAACTGGAAACACATGACCTGAAAGGCTTTCAAAGTCACACACAGAATCTACAGTGTAGATATGCCAATGAAAGTCTTAAGTCCCGAGACCCTCCAATTAAATATCTACAGGAAACATAGACGGTCACATCATTCATGTAAATATGAACAGTATTTAGTGGTGCAAAAAAACAACCGTAGTGGCAGATACCAAATTGCACGTTATAGAATGTAATAATAATAATAATAAATTTTATTTATAAGCACACTTTTCATTTGAGAAAACAAAACTCAAAGTGCTACAGAGTAAAATGGTTGAAACGACAAAATAAAAGCAGCAACGTTTCTGCCGGCATGGCAACAAGCGAGAGTAAAAGGCTATTCTAAAAGCATCCAGTAACACTGTTTGTTTCTGCATCCTCTCAGAGCTCGAAGGCGGTCGGGCCCTCCTCCAGCCGGGCGGCGGACCCCGGCAGCCTGCCCGTCCCGGCCCCGTCGGGGGGGAGCCGCCGGGGGAAGACTCGCGCGCCCAGCGTCCCGGAGGTGAGCCGGGGGGAGGGGGGGCTGGAGCTCCTCAGGGAGCGTCCCGAGGAGGCGCTGTCCCCCAGCCGCCCGCAGATCCTGGAGACCCCCGAGTCCCTCAGCGACTCCCTGTACGACAGCCTGTCCTCCTGCGGCAGCCAGGGGTGAACGAGGACACGAAAAACACAAAAAACAGCACCGCTCTGAACTTACTGTGATGCTGCTCGCCCAACGCCACATCTTTGAGGACTTCCTGTTGATGTCCACAGGAACAAGGCGGTGATGCGTTCTCTTTAAGCAACTGGAAAGACGCTCGATGGACTCTCCTCAGGATTTCAAAGCCAAAAGCCACCCCCAAATAAAATAGGTTCACTTTTTGTCCCACAGACTGGACTGTGGACACTTGATGTATACAGGACTACAAAACGCATGGCTAAGCTAATGACTAGCACAAAGTGATCACTCCCGGTAGTTGTTCCAGCAGCGCGTCTTTTAGTTTTGAATCATCCTGGTAGACAGATCTTTGTTATGGAAGAAGAAGAGCTGAGCCTTCTGCTCTGGACATCATAATGTATTGGAGAAAAAAAACTAAACATGGAGCTCCTTAAAAAAATGAATGTTCATGTCTGTGATTCTTTATTGCTAAATTCATGCATCACGATTTTAAATGTATAAACGATTTTATTGATCATGTTGATATTGTTTTGCGACCCATGAAGGTTGTCAGAATACGTCTGTTTTGAAATCTTAATACATTTAAAGGTAATATATACCAGCAATAATAACATAGATAAGAGAAATGGCTACACTATTCAATGAATATGTATTTCTATTATTTATTTATTTTCAATGTGCATCGTTTGCATTCATCTCTTTTTTTTCATTTTGTAATCTTTCTGTGAAAATTGCAGTCTCCTCGCTTCAGTAGATTATGTTCATATCTTGTATTTCAACATCTGTTGCTGTTCGTTCCCTAGCCATAGAGGTCTATGTACCTACTGCCGTTTTTCAACTTTCTAATTAAAATGTTCTGATTTATTTGGTTGTGTGACGTCGTTCTTTTGACCGTTTGCATCAATAACTTCGACACATGGTGGATGGAAACTCGTAAAGTATGATACTAACCTATGTTGGTCTTTTTCCGAGATACTTTACTATGGCGTTTTTTCAAATATGTTCTGATATTTTGGGCATGCTATACTATGACGTTTTCGACATATTACACCAGGGCTATTCAATTAGTTTGGAATGGGGGCCGGTTGATGAAAATGATCCAAAGCAAGGGCCCGGGAAAAAGATGGCTTGAAATATGAGCAATCATATTAAGAGCTTCGGATACAGTAAATACTACAACAGCATAGTGGAGTGCATATATTGTGTTTAATTAAATCAAACAACATAGCCCCAAGGCCTTTATAGATAGTTCAGAACTCAGTAGGCCTACATGTGAAGCTAATTTAACCATCAACATCATTTCATTTCATTTAGGTGAAATTATCTAATCATTCACGCAGAGATGCAATAAATGACAGTTGTCACTACAGTAGCTAGTAGGTGGGTTCGAAACCCGAGCCCGCCGAAGTTTTCAGGCAATGTCTTCCCCTATCTCTCAATGTAACACCTTCTCTGGAATAAAGGCACTCTGGCCCAAAAGAAAATCTTTAAAAAATAAAAAGTACATTACTTTTAACATTATACTCAAAGGGCCAGTAAACATCACCCCGGGGCTGGATTTGGCCGCGGGCCGCCAATTGAATAGCCCTGTATTACACTATGACTTTAAACATCTTTTTCAATATACTATGATTTTTCTGATATTTTCAACATACTATTACCTTTTTCTGAAAATGTCGATATACTATTACTTTTATCAAAAAGACATCATAGTAGAGTATCTGGACAACACACCATAGTATATAAATCTATGTTGTTTTATATCAAAAATATAACTAATCATTTCATAGTATAGATAGTATGTCGGAAAAAGAAATCTAGCTTTTCCCTTGCCAACATTGAGCCTACATTTTGGAGCGTCATTGAGCTTCTTCCCTGACGGCCCAGCATGAAAAGGTTTGTACAAATGATTGTTTAAATAGTTCTCGTTCAAACTGAGTCTGCTACAGACCTAAAGTGTCTGAATATTTATTCCACTGCTGTGAACGGTTGCAATATATAAGCAGAGATCATTGGAGTAACCCAGAGTGAAAACAGGCACTTTGTTTCAACGTTCAACACATTTATTTGAGCAAATGTATCAAATTATTAGTTTCAATTTTACATCCATAAAATAAATTCTTCACAGTATACACTTTCAAAAAATCGTTAAGGTTAACATCACATCGTTTGGCAAACTAATTCTAGACAACAGATATTTAGAGAATTTACAGAGAGGTTTTGAATAACTCGTATCCTCCTATCCAAGATGGAAATATGGACAGATGGCTCCGAAGTCTTCCTCCTCCTGCACCCGCCAACATCCAGAATCCATAAAAGTGTGTCTGATGAGCCGCTGCAGCTCTTTAAGACTCCGACAGGCTTTCAGGGTTTGTGTCGGTGTTACCGGGCTTCACCACTCCAATGGTGGTCAGAAACAAAATGTGTGGAAACAAAAACCATCACAGGGGGAATTTCTCAAAGGGGGAATCTGTTGTCAAAATCATGGGACACCATATCTTGTTGTGACACTCCACTAAGAGAACAGAGGAAAACTATAAATAAGCAAATCAACGATGGAAATCACAGAACTTCAAATAAAACAACGATCAGCCTCAGAAGCTCACATGACCCACTACAAAGGAGCCTATCAAGTCTTTAATGTATGGCACTAAATACGTTTCTTCATTAAAAGCTGCTCAGCCAATGGGAGCCTCGCAGGGCAACACTCCCCTCTACAGGCCGAGCAGGGTCACCGCAGCGTTACTCTAATTCTCCATTCACAGCCATAGTGGGGGACTAGCGTTAGTTTACCATTAACTTACATTCAACCCTTGTTGTAAGTTCGAAAGATAAATCAAAGAAATTTCAATAATATAAGACCACATAGGAGTTAATTTAATAAATGAAGACAGAGAGTGAAAAGCACCGCTGCAAATTGTGCCTTTTGACAGTTCCAAGAGTTCTTTACTTCTTCTCCTTCTTCTTCTCCTGCAAGAGACAAATAATCAAGAGTTATACGACTTGCCCACATCACTCGGAGTTATTAACGGTTATGAAAACAAAAACACTCCAGTGGTATAAAGCCATACTGATAGATGTGGTTAACGTAAAACAAGTAGTTCCAATACAAATGTTGACACAGATTAAAAAGCATATCTGAAAAAGATGTTGCCGTTTAGTTATTTGGATGCGTTTTACTTCCTCGTCATAATAAAAAACACAGGTCATTGTACTGCAGCGCTGAAATAACAAGCAACAGAAAGCAAAAGTATCTGCACCGAGCTTCTAGATATCTAACATATGATGTTTGTGATTTGGTTGAGCCGACCTTTTCAAAATAGTTAATCTACATCATTGTTTTTCAATAACATGCATTGGAGATGTTATTTTTAACAAATCCTATAAAAAAGCAAAGCCCACAATACATTTTAGACCTTCTCTCAATACTTTAGTCAAGGAGTAAAGTGTTACTGTGAGGGGAAATAATCTCAGACATAGATTTGTTGTAATAATGATAATCTCCAGCAGCTTGTCAAATTACTAGCAATCTGTTGACATGACATGTTAATAACATACCTCTACTGTGACTTTACATTACATACTTTACTTTGACTTTTTATGATATACCATAACAGAGCGTACCGGCAAAAGGCAAGTGTGTGCAACAAACTGGGGAGAAATACCAATTGAGAGGCATGTGTAAAATGCGCTGTATTTATGGCCAACGAAAGCTCCTTAGACCTGAATATAATAGACCTATCCCATATTCCTTAATCGACTAATGGCGCATTTCCACTGCAGGGCCTCGCACGGCTTAGTACGGTATAGTTAGGCCTTGTAGGCCAGGCTCACTTTATGCTGCGTTTCCATTACAGTTTAGGAACTGGGGCAGTAACTATAGTAACGCAGTCTAGGCGGAGCCGTGACGTCATCTTCAATGAGAACCACAGAAAACCAACATCAGCCGTTAGCTGTTAGCACTCAAGCTCACAGCTCCTCATATCTGTTCAGAAACTAGACAAAAGTTAAACAAGTACAAACCACAGACTGCCTGTGTCATGGTGAATACAGTCGCTGCTTTATTTATGTCTGTATAGGCCGTTGTTGTGAGTGTGGACGGTCGGAGCATATACTGCGTTAGCTTAGCCAATCTCCATTCAGAAAACAAGCATTTTAAAAGGTTTTTTGCCTGCCGTCTGTCTGCAGACTTGACAAAGCATTAATTCATGGTTTTTACTAACCGGTATCAGTATGTTGTTACTTCGGCATCATTTTGAAACGTGTATTACAATTAAATCACGGTCAAATATGTTCATTTTGTTGTAGTTGTAGCCACTCACGTCACTAGTTTAGCATATTCAGCCCGGTTGTTGGCCCGGAAAGAACCACGATTTTGGAGAGCCAGAAAAACTGTAAAAAAGTACCCGTTAGCCGGAACTACGCATGGTGGAAACGCAACCAAAAAACGGGCCGGGTTTGGCACGGCACGCTTAAACCGTGCTACGCGCTGCAGTGGAAATGCGTCAAAAATGCCACATTCGGAAAAAGGCCTAATTGGGAATATCCAAACAGAATATGCCGTTCAAACGACTTGTATCACATCTGAATATTGTCTTATTTCAAATAGTAACACAATATTTATTACCATGCCCGTTAACACTGTGTCACCACCCTTCACTGCGGCTTGTTAATGAGTTCTCATTTGTTTATTATTATAATAAGAAAAAGCAGAGCTCTACGGCTAAAAGGAATAAGAAATACCAGGGTTTAAATACACAGATAATGGTTTTAACCCTTATGCATAAGTGGGTCCTTTGTGAGGTGGTTTTCTTGAAGTATCTTTGTAATTACATTTTTTTAATCATTTCATATTTCAGATATTCCTCAAAAAACATGTTTTGGAAATCATGCCATTCAAATTTTAAATTAAAATGTTAAGAAATTGTAGTTTTTGTATTTCTACCCCAAGCTTCCATAAGTGGGTCAAAAATGGGAACCTTTGATTCTTATCGCCTGTTGCTGTCAGGAATACATTCACTGTGGACCACACAGACTACATCAGAAGTGACACCTCTCAGGAAGATTATTTTACTCAGCAAGATCTGATACCTGTCAGTGTTATAATAATAATAATAAATTATATTTGTATAGGGCTTTTCAAGGACTCAAAATCGCTTTACAATATAAGGGAAGGTTAGGGTGGGGGGTATAGGACTATCAAACTTGATCAACCGGCATGGATTGATGGGGGGTGGGCTATGAGTAGACAAGAGGAGAAGAGATGAGTTTTGAAAAGGGACTGGAATACTGTGAGGGTCTCAGAAAAGCGGAGATCTTTGCATCAATATGTTCAAAACGGGTTTTTTCTAAATGTAAAAAAATTGTCTAAAATTATAAATAGTGAAAAATGAAATCTAAAATATTTCTTGTGTGAACCAAAATATAATACAAAATATTATACAAGTGATTTTTCTTAACCAAAATGGCATAAAAACACATATTATTCTAATACGGGTCCTTTTTGACCCACTTATGGGAGAGTGTAGGGTCCAGTCACTCGGGCATCTAAGGGTTAAGTACCATCACTTCATTATAGCTTTGGGTCTCTTCATTGGATTGGTTGACACTCAGAACAAGAGCAGACCAGGACCTTACAGAAAGAGAAGGAGGAGGCAGACTGGGTACCTTATCGTTCATGGCGAGGATGACCATCAGTTTCCTGAAGATGGTGATGAAGTCCAGGAACAAGTCCACACAGTGCCTACGCAGATACAGTTTGTTTTAGAATCAATACAGGCTAATGGGGATAACCAGAAAGAAACATAACCAAACATTCTATATCTTTGAAAAAAAGTAATCATTTGAATAAAGTCATTACGCAG